AATTGCTTTAATAGAATAGAATAGAATAGAATAGAATAGTGGCGAAATTCACTTGTTACAGCAGCATCAACACTTAAGAGAATAATTTGAAGAAATTTAATAACAAGGGTACATGCATATAGGCAGTAAGCTATTTTTGTAACCTTTGACCACTAAAAATCACAAATAAAAATGATGAAATTGGGTTCCAGATCCATGCAGCATACTGTAAGAGACACAGACATACTATGTAAATGTGGTATTGCACAAGTATTGAACACATCCATGGTCTCCACAGTGGAATGCAGTGGGTGGGAGTTTTTTTTTCAGATGGTGGTCATCTTCCCCAACATCCTCCTTTCACACGTCTCATCAACTAAATCCAGTGGGCAACTTAGAACCGCGCTAACTAGGGGTGATGGAGTTGAATCTGTTAAAAAACATGTTAAGGTCATTGGCCCAGTTCTGGTACCCTTCAGCAGATTTACTGGCACCACTCTTCCCACTGTGTCCGGCCATGTTTCTGAGGCCTCTCCATGCACCATGAGCATTGTTCTGCCCTAGCTGTTTCTCCAACGTCTTCCTGTAGATGTCTTTAGCCTGTCTGATCTTAAGCTCTTCTGGGCTTGTGCTCCTCTTTAGCGCCAGCCATAAAAGTTTTTTTCTTCTTGAAGTCTCCTGTAAGGGAATATTGTAAATTTCCAAAACTGCTAAAGGAGAAAATCAAGACAATGTCTCTCCCCCATCTTCAGAGCTTGCAAAAAAAAGTAGCAACAGGCTTTATGACATGGTGCATCATCCTGCTGGAAGTAGCCATCAGAGGATGGGTGCTGGTGCAAATTGTAGCTTATTTCTCCTATTTATAGTGGAGATGAGTGGTACCCGGTGGGGTCTTCTGTTGCTGTAGCCCATCCACCTCAAGGTTGTGCGTGTTGTGGCTTCACAAATGCTTTGCTGCATTCCTCGGTTGTAACGAGTGGTTATTTCAGTCAAAGATGTTCTTCTATCAGCTTGAATCAGTCAGTCCATTCTCCTCTGACCTCTAGCATCAGCAAGGCATTTTCGCCCACAGGACTGCCACATACTGGATGTTTTTCCCTTTTCACACCATTCTTTGTAAACCCTAGAAATGGTTGTGTGTGAAAATCCCAGTAACTGAGCAGATTGTGAAATACTCAGACCCGTCTGGCACCAACAACCATGCCACGCTCACAATTACTTAAATCACCTTTCTTTCCCATTCTGACATTCAGTTTGGAGTTCAGGAGATTGTCTTGACCAGGACCACACCCCTAAATGCATTGAAGCAACTGCCATGTGATTGATTAGATATTTGCATCAGGGAGAAGTTGAACAGGTGTTCCTAATAATCCTTTAGGTGAGTGTATATACACTCTGTAGACTTGTGAAAACTCACAACACTGCAGGTTTATGGAAAAACATAACTGCATTTAAGTAGGTGGACTTTGCCAGAATATACATTTAATAACACAAAGTTACAGGTCTGATAACTCAAATAATAAATGAAACTAGAAAATTCCTGAGGAAAAATTAAAAAGGGACCTACCACCTGGCACAAGATGTTTTTATGCAAATGTTAAAAAATGCCACACTCAAAGTTTGAAAGGGTAGCTCCAACTGTCCAAAATTGAGAAATTGTTTAAAGTTTTTGCAAAAAAAATTTTCATGGTGACTTGAGTAAACCTTTCCACTGCTGTTCCACGCTGCTGATGCTTCCAGTGTGCAGTAGGGGTAAAGCATGGACACAGGTATAAGTTGTAAATGCTACTTTTTTTTGTTTGAACTTGTAAACACAGCCAGTGTACAATAGAAGTAAACACCTAAAGGCCCAACAACAACATATACAAAAGAAAAGAAAATGTTTTTTTTCCTCACAATGTTCAATTCAGGGACTGATCTGGCTGGATTAAATCAGTTCAAGTCAGGGAAAATAATCCAGAGTTGTCTCCGTGTGGATGTCAATAAGGGAAACCGACACAATCCTACCACTGTATCCGAAAACAACGTGGTGGACTCTCAATGTTCATGGAACTCAGAGTTCAGCTGGGAGGCTCGCCATCAACTGGAGTCACTGGTCATCCTCGTGGGTAACTAGGACTGGAATTTTTATTCATTTTTCTTTGCATCAACAAGGGAAGGAAAGAAAAAGACTTGACCAAGAGAAGGTTTTCCACAGGAGAACCCAGGACAGGAAAGTGCTCCTCCGACTCTTTTTTCACGAAAGAACAGAAGTTATTCTCACTCGTTGATCTCCGATGCTAAGCTCCCTTGTTAAATCAGCAGATTCAGCCTCCGGTTTGTAACACAATAAAAGTTACGGTTTTCAAAATAAAACCAACACTCCTTATACTTCCAAAATGAAAAGCATAATGAGCACACTATGAAAAAAAGAAATATTAACACTTTTTTCAGGCGGGTAACATACATATGATACACACACACACACACACACACACACACACACACATGCACATTTTATTATTTTGTTTTAGAAAAGTTTCAGAGTAATTTAAATGTGCTCACTCAAATTTTGTTCATATTTTTAATTTACCGTGTCTGATGACGTTTCATACAACATGAAAAGCTGCAGCCATGCAGTAAGTCAAATCATCAGCTTCATTGTTGCGATTGTCGGATTTAGTCAGTAGATTTTTCCTTTAGCATTCTGGAGTACATCTCCCTCAAAAGCACATTATGAAATTAACTGCAATCTAAATGCAAAGTGTTGTGGTTGTTGCTGTAATATTAAAGCTTTTATTTTCTGCTCTTCAAGAACATTTTTCTTTTTCACTGGAGTGATAAGCATATGAGGGATCATTAATGGGTTCATGCTTTTTACTCTGAATTTCAAGCTATTGTCTTTTCACCAAGTCATTAAAAAACTCAAAATATTTTAGATGTTTGTTTAGATTTCCTTCACTTTTGCAGTGATGACATACAAGCCCGAGGTTTGGGACTTTTCACCTCAACCAGTGAAAGAGAATTCAATTAGACAAAAGAGGTTGGTAAAAATAAACCACTTCTAAGCTGCAAATAGTTGGAAAACATCCAAACTGCAGCCCATCGTTTCCTCCTCTGGGTTGTTTCTTAGAAATCAGGAAGAGTTGATCACAATCAGAATCTAATGAACAAAGCACCAGTCCTGGGAAAAATGCTCCTCGTCTTCTGAAGACACAACAAAGCTTCGGCTGTTTGTTAGGATGTTGCATCAAACTCAGAATTTATCAGCTTTAATTTTTTTAAGTGACTAAAACTTTTTATTTCATGAAGGCAATTTGAAGTCACATCTGCACATTTCTAAATGATAAACTAAATATCAATCAAATTATTTTGTTTTGAAAACAAAATTTTTGAGTTTTTTTTTTACATTGGCACTCTTTCGTTTACATCACTTTGTTTCTTAGTTAAAAAACACATTTACTTTTTATCAACTTTACATAAATAATTAATATTAATGTATCTGGGTTACACAAAAAGTCAGACTCCCTTTACTTTAATGGCAGTTTTATTAATGCTGACAGAGTTGAGCAGAAAGGAAGTTGTTCCACTTTGGTTAAACCTCCTACTGCTGCAGATTTTTTTACAGGACCATATTCCTAACAAACAGATTGGTTGTGTGTGAATTTGGGTTGATTTAAAGGGACTTTACGGACTTTTGAATTTTTATGCTCGCGATTGCCCCCTCAGGCCAAAAGCTTAACGGCAGCTTCAATAGTAGGCTCGTGCACGAGGCGCGCATGCTGTACGTGCACACTCCTTAACGAAAATAGCAGCTGAGACAGTCCCTTGTGTGTGTGTGTGTGTGTGTGTGTGTGTGTGTGTGTGTGTGTGTGTGTGTGTGTGTGTGTGTGTGTGTGTGTGTGTGTGTGTGTGTGTGTGTGTGTGTGTGTGTGTGTGTGTGTGTGTGTGGCCCGGAGGACAGGAGAATGCGCAGTTAAGTCATTCAATAATTTGGTTCTGTACCTTTCTCTTCAGCACAGCTGACAAAGGTTTAAGATGGGCCAGTCTTCCTGCATGCTCAGATCATTCCCTTCCCTTGCATGAAAAATTGCTCCAAAATGAAAGCTGAACTCACATCTTTTTTATCTGTGAATTCAATGCCGTTCAGCGAGTCTCAAATAAAAATTTGGGCATCTTACTGTAAAAAAAATACCACTAATGTAAAAGAAGAAACTTTAAATAAACTAGTTTCACACCCAGAATCAAACCCAGGTCTTCTGCATGAGAGTCTGACGTCTAACCAGGTGAGCTAAAGCACCAGTAACATGCATGGCATCTGTAACTTTTATATCCTTGATAACACCTGAAACAACGTCAAACCAAAGAATGGTTCGAAGCAAAAATGGCTATTTTGTTGCTAATTTGCGGGAAATATCTAGAATAAAGTTCTTCAGAAAGTAGCTAAGGGTCCTCAGAAATGTAGCTAAGTTCATCACTAGGCGTTAGGAACAGCGACAATGTCGCTGAGTTGGCACTACCTCTCTCTCTGCTGCTAAAGCTACGGATAGCAAATGCTACGGACTATGCCTGAGCGTGAACGTGCATGAAGCAGCCTGTTCGACCCGAGCAGCTCTCTTTTTCTGTGATTTTACAGAAAAACAAGCAATCACAGTAAAAATGCCAGGGCTCATTCTACAGGACCAGGGCATTGCAAGAGAATGTATGAAGAATAAATGTATTATTTCTATACATGTTTTGACTGTCAAACTTCCATAATGCCCCTTTAAGCATGATTCTTTTATTTTTTATTTTTTACAAATTTCTAATACTTTTAGCATTTCTAATTGCTTCTAGACACAACATTACAAACATGCCTGAAAATGTAAGGCTTGAGTAAAACAACTGGAATCACAGGAATTCCTAGTATACAAACCCAAAGGTACTCAAAGTTTGGTGCAAAGTCATTTTATTTGCAACAGACTTCATTTAGAGAAGCTTGAAGTAAAATTATTGGATAGTAAAATTAATTAAAATAATACTAAAAAAATAAAACACGAAGCAGAACAACAAAACCCAAATAGGTTTATTTTTCTTATCAAAATGTGTAACATCTTTGTAACAGCTCCACAAAAAGGATGCATAAACTTTGGAAAAGAATCAGACAGCTTATTGAAAATGTGAAACTTTTCGTACAGCCAGCACACGTCATGTATATTTATAAATCTATTAAAGTGAAGAGATTCCTTTTTGCAAAGTATAAAAATAGTAGAATGACAACAAATCAAGTAAAAAAACCAAGTTCTTCTGCCTAAGTTGTAAAGCTATTTGGCATTATACAAAATCTGAACTGTGATTGTTTTTTTACAACTTTACATGGAGAACTTAGTGATCCTGACCTAGTTACCAGATGAATGTGCAGCTTGTTTGTCCTCAGAAGGACGTGGGTCCCCTCGCTCCTCCGTCAGACGTAATTAGACTTGGAGTGTGTGGTAGGGAGGAGATGGTTGGAGCTTTTGGACGCTGAGGATTTAGTCTCACAACATCTCCGACAGCTTAGGAAAGCACCGCCAACCACAGAGAAGAATCCTCCACCCAAGCTGACAAATATTGCATTACCAAACTCTCTCCTGCAAAAAGCACACATGTTATATAAACACAAGCATTTGTATGTGTGGCGTCCATCTTTGTTCTGCTGGAATATTTACGTTTGCAGACGGTGTGATTTGTGGTAGATCTCAACAATTATGCTGACATACCAGGAGGTGATGATGATGGTTACAAAACCTAAAACAAATGCAAACATTTTAACTTTTAAGCATTAAGTCAACTAAGCATTTGCATTTCCAAGAGTAGCTTTTCAGAAAGCACATTTTAGGTTATCTCAAGTGTTTTTTAAAGAGACATTTATGCAAAACTAATTTTTTGCATCCTTTTGTGCTACCATGTGGGTCTCTGCCTCTATAAACACTCCAATAATAATAATGATAAAAAAATCTGTCCATCCGTTTTCTGTCGTGTTTGGTTTGAGGAATTACGAGCCGAAAACAAGCTGTTTTAAAAAGTGCCTTTTTGTGATGTCACAAACGGGGAAAGTAGAATACAATCACCTAGGGAGAGCTGCCGCTGGAGGAGCAGCGGCTCCACTCCAAGCCCCTCCCAGATATCGGAGCTTCTCAGCTTATAGCAGTTTCGAGGGGGGTCAGCTGCAGCTTGTTTTCTGAAAGTGAGATAGCCTTGAAACGGCTCATTCTGGAAGGTATTTAAACTTCAAAGAATAAAACTGCTTAGGTGGCACTATGTGCAAAGGATTTCATGCAAAAACCTCAAAAACACGTGTTGTATCAAACTAATATGAAGAAAAATCATAACATGTCCCGTATAAAATAATTTTTGCCTGATTAAAACCTCCTGCCTCTTCAGAACCACTGAGTGACAGATTCACAACTTGAGTGGCTGAGTTGCACAACTCTTTTGTTGTTGTCTTTGCCATACAACAAAGAGTGCAACTTGCTTGTAGGGAATTGCATAAACATTTGTCTTGCTTTCCATCCATCTCATAAAATAGTTTTCAGAGAGCTTTAAATTCCTTATGTAGTGAAAATTTTAAAGAAAATGAAACCTACATCTTGGTAATGCTATTATGTCTTTTTTTCTTGTCTTTATGGAAAATGCTTTAAAAAATTATTGTATTTTTATTATCATTTTGCGTTTAGTTTTTATTTTATTTTTTGCAAAAAGCAACGGAACTCCAGCATGTGCGTGCTATACCTGCACATAAATGAAAAAAAAAACAAACAAACAAAAAAAAAACAGCCAGAACCCACCTGAGATGAGGAAGAGCATCCCTCCAGTGACCGCTACTTTAGCTTTGCTCTCCGGCATGCTGTCCATCAGCCGGGTGCACTTCATCCCCACCGTGGAGACAATCAGCGCAACGGCAGACAGGAAGAGGCACACCAACATCACGGATCTCGTTGCCTGGACTTCATCTGTGCAGAAGCACAAAGGGGTAACTCCAAGTCTGCGTAGATAACTAAAACTCAGCCTGTGTGTTTATCGTTCCAGACTCACCTGACAGTTTGAGCACAGACTTGTGTCTTTCACAGGTCGTCCTCTCTGTCCCGCTGCAGGTCATCCACAGACCTTCATAGATGTGGAATTTGCCCTGAGCCTCCTTCTTCCACTCCACCATGAAAGTTGCAGCAACAGTCGCAGCGACTCCGACTAGAGCGATGAGAAATCCCACGATCTGCATCCCAAAGCTGGCCATCGCGCCCAGATTAAAAAAAAACAACAAACAAACAAAAAATATGAAATGCAATTGCGTTCACCTGAATCCTATCGCAGAGATTGTAACTATTGATTACATCAAACTCAGGATAGATTATGATCTTGCTTCTTGATAGCCATCAGACTGCTGCGTGCTGCGGGTGGGCTCTATTTAATGTCCAGAGCGCGTGACGCACGCGGTTCCCACCTGCAGCAAAGAAAACATGTTCTCATAGTAACCCCGCCACCTTTAGTAAACAAGGTCGTAAACAAAAACATTTTATCCACTCGGTTTTAAATGGGATCTGGTTACTTCGTTAGTATTTGTGTCATAAATTAGCGTTTTTTTTTTCGTTTTTAGCTCCACAAAATTACAGAAAATTATGCTTTAAAGCTAAATCAAAATGAGCTCAGCAGCAGCCTTAACTGGAGTTTTTTGCAGACATTGTTTTCATCTTTGTAAAAGTTTCAGTGAAATCATGCCTTTAGAATTTACTGTTAGTTGCTTTTTTCAAGTCTCTGCACCCACACAGGTCTGGTCCTCATCTTTAGCAACTGCGCCAACAATGTGACGTCATTTCACCCATAAAATCAAGAGGATATTTTAAAGACATTGTTGTTGCTGGTAATTTGCAGCAGCAAGCTTGTGTTTGCAAAGGGAAACTAACTATTGCACAAAAAACCTTAATAAAGCATTTGACCATATGGTGAGTGGTGCCAGTTTGTCACTTGCATTTGTTTCCAGATTAGATCAGCTTTCCACCCTTTCCTGAAAAAATCCTTTAAAACTTTTCACAGCAGCTGATGGTCACATATTTCATCAGAATGTGACGGAAACATTTAGACTTTTGCACACTTGTTCCTGACTCCTATTGTTTAGCAAAGTCTGGTCAGGTCTGGCGACAATGCTAGGAAACCTGCTGCAAGTGTAACAGAACCATTAAACGCTGCAAGTGATGATAGATATAGAAAAATAGAAAACTCCTCTAATGTCCCTCAGTGGGGTAAAGTTACAGCAGCGATAAGATTCACTAGAATAACAGTCGGATCAGCAGGAGACACAGGCGCTTTCAGAGGTGGTGATTAGAACTAGAGCTTGGTGCTTCTTCAAAATAAAAGCTGAGAGCATGCCTCACAAAGATTTAATTCCTGAAATGATTAATAATGTTTGTCATGCCTTTGAAGTTTTCAGGTTAAATTTAAAATGGCAAGACTCACTCATTTCTTCATGGAGATGAACTTCCCGATGAAGGTAGAACACTGAAAAACATTTTTTAATGATTATTTCTGATTATAATTGGTCACAACATGCAGGCTGAACATGAAAATAGTCTCCTCCACCTATCTCCTGCATTAGCTTCTGATAGAAACAGACGGTGAAACTGTAGGATTTGGACATCCTGCGTCACACAGTGTGACATAGTTCTGTCAGGATTGGACTCACCCATCTTGACTCACGATAAGGAAGGCTGTTGTTAGCATCCAGGAAACAGCAGAGAAGGTCTTGGCTAGTAGAAGCTAACCGTTAGCATTAGCAACTCCACCACACAGCAAAACTCCAGGATTGTGTCATTTGCAGAGATAAAAATCAGTGTTGCAGAGCACAGAGCTTTAATCAGAGGCAAGTTGTCCAAATGTCAGGAAGTAGGAGTCCAAACCCTGTCATCTGACTTGTACTTCCTGAAACAGATGCATCAGAGCCCCACGACCCCAAGTACAACTTACAAGGAATAGTTTCTTATTAGAGACCACTACATGTGTACGGACTAAAAAGTGAACCACACCTTTAAATGTTTTGTGCTTTTAGTTATTTTTTTTTTACCAAATTTGTTAATGTTTTGTGTGATTTTTCTCTGATCCACGTGACTTGTTATGAACCAAAACACTTTAGTTTACAGTTCACAATTTTTGTTCAAGTGTGAGCTCTGATAATCTTGGGCAGCATTGTGAGAAGGCACACTTTCATGGATAAGAGGTGAACCCCACAGATGAGTCAGGATGTGTCACACAAGACTCTCTGGGATTCCAAGAAATGCTTTTCCAGATGTCGCCAAACAATTGAATGGAAAATCAGAAAGAATGTCCTTCCACAAGTCTCCTAATGCCGTCCCCATGCTTCCCTGCAGCATTTCAGTCTCTTCTTAATTTTTCTATTTGTGATCGAACAGAAGCTGCTTTTTTCAGTCCTTTCTGACGCGAGGCTGTTACCTCACCTTGTATTGCCCTGCTGCCTATGAAGCTATGTACAGCTGGCAACTCCACACTGAGCAGCATTTATCAGGAAGTAACAACCTTGGTGCTTGCTGCGCACTCTGGGGCATCCTGAACATCACACTTTGAAGTTACCGAAGATGTGGAAAACTATTCTTTCAGGTGCTAAACTCTCAGCAGTAGTTTCCTGCACGAGGACATGCTGACGTAAAGCCAAGGTGGCATGTTTTCCTTCAGGGGTAATCATCGCAACACAAGAAGACAATGACTTCAAACACAGCTGCATCTTTTTTGCTATCAGTCTAGTAAAATGGGCTATTGTGGCTCAGGTGATAGGAGCTTACCCTGTAAAGGTCAGTAGGTTTCTGGTTCAAATCCAGGCTCCATCTGTGTCAGTTCTTGTGTTCTTGCAAAAGACACTTAACCCGTTTCCCTGCTGGTGGTGGTCGGAGAGACTGGTGGTGCCAGTTGCATGGCAGCTTTACATCCGTCCTGAGGGTAGCTGTGGCTACAGTGTAGCTTATCACCATCAGTGTGTGAATGGTTGTGTAGTAAAGCGCTTTGGGGTCCCTCACTTAGAAATGTGCTAAACAAAATGTGCAATAAACAATAGTAAGAAGTCTGGGTGTGTTTTTAGATATAAAACAAATACTATAAGGAGATGTGATGACTTTTTAAAAGCTACAATGGTTTTATTGTTGCTATCAAAACTGTACATGAAGTTCTTTGCACAAAATTCGTCTCACATAAAGCAATCTCAGCAGTTCTATTTTTGACAGTTTCAGTGCCTTCCAGAATGAGTCATTTCAGGGCTCTGTTACTTTGGGGAAAGAAGGTGGAGCTGGCCATGCCCACTCATACTCTGCTCATGCTGCTATAATCTGAGAAGCTCCCAAATCTGGGCGGGGCTCCAATCAGACCCGGCTCCTTCCGCATTAACAGGTACTTGAAGTGGTGGGGTGTTTCTGTGCAAATGTACACGTATGTGACATCACAAACGGGGTTTCGAAACAGCTTGTTTGAGGCACATAATTCCTAAAACCAAACACTGACAGAAAACAGATGGAAGTGGTGTAAGTCATGTTTGGAGTGTTTTCAGAAGCAGAAGAGACCCCATGGCAGGCTAAAATGATACAAAAGTGAGTTTTACGTTATAAGTCCCCTTTAAGTTAATAAAATGTTTGCAGTAAAAATCCGATCAATGCAGAAACATCTATAAACAACGTCAAGTTTCACCACTAAACCTAAAGCTGAAAAGATTGCACAGCAACATTTGTGTCATTGTCTAACCTCTGGCCAAGACTTCAAACATTCCAGGAAATAACAAAATTGGATCAGTCAAAGGATTCTGTGGAGTTTGGTTATTTAGACTCTGGAACGTGTGGACTGGGAAAGCCTTGGAATCAAACCCTGAACGCACTTAGTGGATGACCGCTCGTCTTCCTGAGCCACAGACACCCAAAGGTCAAAAGGTTTACAGAAACGCTTCCAGCGTTAAACTACGACTGATCAACATATCATAAAATGTTTTTGATGGAATACTTGGTTGGAGTTTTATCTTTTATTTTGATGGTACTTTCCGTGAGGTTTCTTGTAAGTGCTGGCTCATGCTCGCCACAAAGGGAGGAAACGGGCACTGCTCAGGAACCTCACTACAACATCAGTTCTGGGAATTGGAAGGAAAGCCACTTGAGTTAATTGCACCAAAATATTTATTCAGCTAAGTTGCTGATTAGGGAAAGCAGAACAAAAGTAGCTGCTTAAGACAAGGGCCTTTGTGTGATTTGTCAAGAAATGTGGCAAAATATGTGTCACAGAAATTCTCTTAAAGGGAATTACAGCCAAAACCAATCTGAAATGGAATATAAACAAGTCTGCTGATAAACATTACAGAAAAGGACATCAAGAAGGTCCTGGGTTCGCTTCCCGGCCTGGGATCTTTCTGCATGGAGTTTGCATGTTCTCCCTGTGCATGCGTGGGTTATCTCCAGGTACTCCGGCTTCCTCCCACAGTCCAAAAACATGACTGTTAGGTTAACTGGTCTGTCTAAATTGTCCTTAGGTGTGAGTGTGTGTGTGCATGACTGTTTGTCCTGCGTGTCTCTGTGTTGCCCTGCGATGCACTGGCTCTCTGTCCAGGGTGTACCCCGCCTAATTGCCTGTTGACTGCTGGAGATAGGCTGCCCCCCCCCACACCCCCACCCCATCCCACCCCCCGCGGCCCCACGTGGACCAAGCGGGTTCAGAAGATGGATGGACATAAAAACTGGGAAATGCACGGAAATCATGCCACCTCGTGGCTTATAATGAAAGTGCAGCTGTTATTGAAGGCTGTTGAGGCATTCAACAGAGTTGTTTCTATACCAGTGTTGTATGAGAGTAAACTTTAATCGGTCTAAGTCTTATTTCTGTAAGTTGTTTACAAAAGTTGCATAACAGGATCTGCAGGATGAACAATCTGAAATCACAGGAAACTTTTGTGCCTCATGCATCATCAAAGCTGCTTGTTTCCGCAGCACTGCTGTGTCCACACTAGCACAAAGCCAGTAAATTGTGCTGAAACCGACTCGAGACTCTTTATATTAGGAGGTATTTATTTGGGATTCGTAATGTAAGAAAAGTATCAGACTACAGGAGTCCGATCTGGCTGCTAATGAATGTTTCTGGAGAACTGTGAGGAAGGTTTGACCTGTTTGACAGGTGCGCCACCTGTCAGCTCACAGCTTCTACTCTTTGATTGATTCAGGGACAAAACTCTGGTCATGGTTTGTGCATTTTGCATGTTGCTATGCAAGAATCTGCTAAAACCAGCAAACCAAAGTGTTTTAGTGCCACAGAATTTATTCTAAGGATTCTCAGACCATCTAGGTCCGTCATGTTTTGGTAAATCTGCCACATCAAACCTACGTCTTCAATAAAATCAGCTCATGCTCTATAGATCAATCATCGAGAGCACCCCC